GGAGCCGAGACCACACTCAGTATCTCCATCAGGAAAGAGACAGGAGATGTTCCTCTGCACAACCCGCACCTCTACGGCTGCTCCCAGCTATGCGGCTGCTCCTCACACCCTCCCCGGGGACACTGGGTCTATGGGCTGGGGGGTACTCACCCCATTCCCCTTTGCCTCCCCATGTCCCCCTCTGCCATGCTCCAATCCAAGCCCGGTGGGTTCACCCCCAGCCCCAGAGGAGGGTGATGGGGGGCACAGCAAGGGGTATGGGGCAGCCCCAGCGCCCTCCCCATGGCACCCGCCGCAGCCTCACCTCGTCCCCATCCTCGCTCTCCTCCTCACTGCTGGACTCGGAGGAGTCGCCGCCTTCCTCCGATGAGTCACCGTTGTCATCGTCATCATCCTCGTCTTCATCGTCATCTTCCTCCTCTTCTTCTTCCTCATCGTCATCTTCCGATTCCTGTGGGACGGGAGGAGGGTGGTTGTGGGTGCGTGCACTGGCCACCAGCACCCCCGGGGGCCGCACCCACCCCATCCTCGGCCATCCGTCAGCCTTTGGGCTCCTCCAGCCGCCGAGCAGGCTCAGGGGGGCTCCTGCCCTGCACCTCATCCAGGAGTTTTCCCCATTTATGTTCTAAACAGCCCCAAAAAGATTCCTGGAAGGGGTGTGAGGGGGGGTAAAACCAGCCATGGGTGGGTTTGGAGGATGGATTTGGGGACACCTTTGGGTTATTGCCTCAAGGAAAGGGCAGCAGGAAGCACCTTGAAGCAGAGCCCTGGAACCCGCAGGGAGGAGGGTGCTGGTCATCGTGCACTCACCGATTTGGACTGCATCGTTGGCTTCATCTTGGGGTTGGGGCCCCGGATCTTTCCTATGCTCTTGCGTTTCTGCAGGGGGGGAACAAACCCATTCAGAGCTGCAGAGCTCAGCACCTTCCCAGTGCCCAGCCCAGAGATAACCCCACTGCCGAGCTGCTGCACCGGTGGGAACCCCTTTGGGGGGCTCCCCTAAGCTTGGCCTATCCACCACCCAGCTAAACCTCACCCAGGGGGACCCAGCCCAGCCCCAAGCCCCCGGATCCTCCCGCACTGGGCAGACACTCACATTAGAAGTATGTTCCTTGTAGGCAGCGCGCTCCTGGGGCGAGAGGCTCTGCAGAGACAGGAGGGATGGTCAGGGCATGGACGGAGCAGGGAAGGAGCTGGTGTGAGCAGAGACTGTGTCTATGGTACCCGACTGAGCCCAGGGCTCAACCCTCACCTTGAGCCAGATGTCAAGGTGCACCTTGTACTGCTTCTGCTGCTCCTCCGCCAGCTTTTTGTAGTGGTCCTTCTGGCCCTGGGAGATGCGCTGCCAGCGGCTGGCGTGGGAGAACTTCTGGTAACCGTTCCTGCACGAGAGAGCACGCACAGCGTTGGACAGAACTGAGGCGTCCATGAGCACCCAGCACCACCTCCATCCCCAGCGCGGTCCCGCACACAGACCCTCACCCCAGGCTCCAGACATAGAGAATCACAGAATCAACCAGGTTGGGAAAGACCTTTAAGCTCACCAAGTCCAACCATTCCCAGCACTGCCAAGGCCACCACTGACCCCTGGCACTGAGGCCTCGGCTACACGGGCTGTGAGCACTTGCAGGGACGGTGACTCCAGCCCTGCCCTGGGCAGCCTGTTCCAATGCCTGCGCACCCCCTGGGCAAGGGAT